CGGTAGGCCCACGTGGTGAGTGAAGCGTTGGCAACGCCGCCTTTTGTGTGCTCTTGTGTTATGTTGTTTGAGTGTTTGGTAATATTGTGTAATGATGACTTAGCGTGTTGATAACGGTTGATGTAAGAATGTCCAAGTGTGTTAATTACAATTTATGTATCATTCGGCGGACGATATCATCGTTCAAAAGTAGTTAAATAAATGTATGTTTTGTTTGTACCGACCGTGTCTGCTGTGTCCGTTCACTCCAAGAGCTTGGCGTGCTGCTCGCTCGCCATATCGAGACCCCACAATGTCTGTCCCTTCGAGACACGAGTCAATAAAGCCTGTTACGAAGGGATGAAGCACCCCGCGGCCGGCGCACGCGATTCCCCTTTCCCGGCTCACGGAACAGCTTTCCCCTCCCTCAGTGAAGGAACGAATTCTCGTCAGGGAAAGGGAAACAGGGACGGTGGAGAATGGGAGTGTGCCTACGACCGGATGCTCTCTCTTGCACCAGCCACCAAACAGGAAGGACGAACCCGAAACCCCTGCAAGCCAAGGAAGACAACGATCGAGGAGTAAGCGTCTTCCCTTTGTTATCTGAAGTCCCTCTACGTGACATTTACGCGTTATTGCTACTGTAGCAATAAAGTGTCCTTTTGTTGACCTCGCCTATTGCTTTATTCGACCAAACTCATGTAGCTGCAATGACTCAAGCTGCGGAAAGGGGACATTAATCGTGCCCGGTACGACTGTGTGCGGCTGGAACAATAGCTAGGCTTCTGCGTCAGCCGTAGATAGGACGGTCCCCCTTCTACCTGGCAGTCTCATTTCATATCCTGGTCCTTCCATCCTTCAAGCAGCTCTTCCTCATTCTGGTTTAGGAGGTCGTCATTGGAGATCACTCCTTGGACGGTGTTCATTAATCGATGTGGGGTCACTGTAATTGCAAACGTGCCAAATGCAACAAGGTCCGGAAGTTTTCTGTACTGCTCACTGTCGTGCACTTCAAGCAACAGGTCTCCGCTAGTCATTTTAGTGGCCTTATACCCTGGTCCTATTGTGTCAGCAAGACACTTTGCAACAAGGAATGGAGAGATGGTTCTGGCGGACTTTCCAGTATCTGTGCACTGTATGACATGAAAGTGGGGAAAATATTCTTTAAGCTAAACAAAAAAGATGTGGATTTCATCGGTGCGTCCTCTTTTTCGAGAGGACAATCAGGGGTTTTTGGAAAGGCATTGAAGGTCATAAATGTACGATTACATTAAGTGGCCACACCAGCCACCCACCACCGAGCCCAACATGAGGGGCGCTGTGACACGTTATGAGAGCACAGACGCAAGCTGTACGTGGCCATTATAACCTAATATATAATGCCCAAGGAAAGACATATACACAAGGTTAACCCTCGCCACCAGGAAAAACGGAAGTGGAAGAAAGTAGTAGACAGGAAAAATATAGAAGTATGAACAAAAGGTGAAGATGCATGGGGATAGAGACAGGAAAATGGGACTGCCGATATTCCCTGGCTTGATCCGCTCAGGGGTGCCATCTACTTGAAGCTGGAGCCAAAAGGGTGTGTTACCTCCACTGGGGGGCCTTGTAGGTCTAATCACCCGGCACTGACTCAACCCCAAGGATCTTCTTTTTTTCAGACACAGCTAGGCCAGGCACGGCGAGGAGTGGTATGGTGTCAAACCCCCCCGTTGGCTTGGGTCTATGGTGTTGCTGGGGGGCCTTGGAGCTCTAATAACCCAACATTGACTCAACTCCCAGGATCCTCTTTTCCCAGACACAGCTAGGCCACACACGGCGAGGCATGGTAGGGAGTCAAACCCCCCTGTTGGCTTGGGTCTATGGTGTTGCCACACACCAAACACCTGCTTGCGCAGACGCCCCTGCGGGGACAGCCACTTTGTGCGGGTGCTACACTTCCTGCGCCTCGTGGCGCACGTGTTTTGCGCATAAGTCGCATTTCAGGTTCACAACTACTGAGCAGTAGATGGCATTGTGCTCGCGAGCGTTTGTTATCACCATCAAACACCTGCTTGCGCAAACGCCCCTGCGGGGACAGCCACTTTGTGCGGGTGCTACACTTCCTGCGCCTCTTGGCGCACGTGTTTTGTGCATAAGCCGCATTTCAGGTTCACAACTACCGAGCAGTAGATGGCATTGTGCTCGCGAGCGTTTGTTATCACCATCATCATCATGGTTAAGTCGGTAGCACCGGCAATGACGCCTGGCAGAAAGCCGTGGTAACAGCGCGAGAGAGATAAGCTGCACTCTTCGGCAGGTGGCAGTCGCCGCGAATGATTGTCTGTAGCCGTGGGTCCCCAGTGCGCGACACCACAAATTGCATGCCGGGGGCCCTTTAGGCGAGTCAAGCACTGGCGAAGCCACCTTACGTGTGTTCTCGTGTTTGTCATGTTGTTGAGTGTTGTGTAATATAGTGTAAGGTTGTTTAGCATGTGGACCACAATTGGTGTTATGATAATTCGGCTGACGATATTGTCGTTCTAAACGTAGTTAAATGTGTGTTGTTTGGTTCGGTCCGACCATGTCTACTGTGTCCACTCACTCCAAGAGCGTGGCGTGGTCTTCACAGCGAGACCCCACAACTTTAAAGAAAAAAAAATGCTTACTGTAATAAAACCAATTAATCACTAAACCAATATATGCTGCACGTAATTATTTGTTGTCTTTATAAAATGTTTCATACATTCAGAAATTATCTGTTCTTATGTCTATACTGATTACTCGATTTGTTTTCTTTCTTAAATACACAGTTGAACCCCTTCATTAGAGGCGTGCATCGGAGAGCTATTCCTGTCTTTTACGTGAGGTGTCTCTTCTTATAGGCATTTTTTTATCAACAGCTATTTCAGCATCTCTTACACCCATTTGTCTCTACAAAGGAGTTCGAGTGTATTGATCAGCTGCAGTGGTCATAGTGTTTGGCTGCTGACTCGAAGCTCACATGTTTGATCCCGACTGCAGCAGTCCCATTTCAGTGGAGAAACAATGCTAGAGGCCCACATACTGTGCAATGTCAGTGCCTTAAAGAACAATAGATGGTCCAGAGCTCACCACTATGGCATCTCTCAAAGCATATCTTGGTTTTGGTATGTTGGATATTGTTACTATACTCTAATATATATATTTATTAAGTGTATGCTATTTTAATTATGTTTCATATGCTAATGTTTACTTTAATTAAATTACAAATACTTTACTATTTAAACCTCTGAAATATTTGTCTTTTTTTTTGTTATCTACAACTTTCATCTACCTGAGCATATTTTTAGAAATGAATCTTTTAGCGAGCCAAATAGGCTAGTGATCAAGATGCATAAGCACAATATTGCTGCACTATTTATATTTGCCAATAAAACTTTTTTCTTTCTCTTTATTTAGAATTATTCTGACAAGTCAGACTTCACACAGTCTTTTACTCGTGATGTGAACAGGGTAGTTCTGAAATTAATATTCAGGAAACTAAAGTATTTGTTATCATGTCATGAAGCTTTTACAATGTTCAGATGCTTTTGTTCCACGGGTGCCCGAGACATAACCACAGCCACCCACAAAAGGACGAGGCAACTTGTACACTAACGCTGACGGAAACCCAAAGTAACACTACACTTCCCATCTGCAAAGTCCCAGACCTTACTGAGTAGTTCCGAAGGCGACCAAAGAAGGAAGGCACAAGCGCTGCTCTGAACGAGGCCCACGGTGGATGGCAAGTAGCAGAGGAGCTCGCACACCAAAGGTCACAACAGCCTTCAAATTAGAATTAAGGCTGCTAGTTGAGGAGAAGACACCAACACCATAGCCACGTCCCGGCAGACACCTATAATTAAGATCGTGCTCGAAGCCCGACAGCTCAGCGTGTCCAAGGGCACACGACGCCTCACGGCAGGGCCCCGTCAGAGACACATTGCCATGGCCCGCTCGCAACTGACAGGGCCCTCCAGGCTCAGATGGTCACCGAGGCACGGGTCCGGAATCCGACCGCTGAGGATTATTACCAGTCTTCATCGCTTCTCTGGTTTCTTCTCTCTCACCCTCGAACCTCGTCCCATCATCCTCGTGCATCCCGTAACCTTCTCTGAATGGTGTTTGCTCTTCTATAGTATTCTATGTTCCAACACACGTGCCACTTCCATCGTCGTCTTCTACTCGATCTTGTCATGGCGGGCACATTAAAGTCTCAAGGACGTCACTGATTACTGAACTATTCAAAAGTGTCAGAAGAGAGCAGCGCTTTGCAATAGGTAGTGTGAAAGGAGAAGTGGCATAGTTGGGACGTAAGGAGCCACAGAGCCAATCGTATGACGTAGGAGCCACAGAGCCAAACCATGAGATGCCTTCTCAAGCAGTATGACACTCCTTCTATCGAAAGTAACATGCTTTTAAAGAGAGTAACAACCAGAAAATATCTAAAATTCTTGTCATTACTCCTTTAAGGTCAATGCTGTAAGCAATGGAAGGGAAAATTAAAGGTGTAACCTCAACGGACAACGTCATGAAACAAATGGGTGTTAATGACATCTTAGTCAAAATCAAAATGAAATGAACATAGGCAGGCCATGTAGTGCATAGGCAAGATAACTGCTAATGATTGATATGTTGATTGATACGTGGGGTTTAACGTCCCAAAACCACCATATGATTATGAGAGACGCCGTAGTGGAGGGCTCGGGAAATTTCGACCACCTGGGGTTCTTTAACGTGCACCCAAATCTGCTAATCAGTACTGACTAGCAGATAACTTCTAGTCAGTAAGAGTAACTGACTGCAAGGCAAATGTGCAAGGGCCAGACAAGTGGGCAGATGAGATTAATAGGTTCGCCGGTATAGCGTGGCAGCCGCGAGCACAAGACCAGATTGATTGGTGGAACAAGCTCTGCAGAGGACACAGTCAGGCAGATGAATGAAACTTTTCTTTGGCAACCTGCCCACAACATACAATAAGCCACTTGCAGAAAGGCAAACAATTGCTGCTGGTGACTTACTTGCGGCCGGGTCCTCAAGCATCGAGACAAAGGACCGGTACGTGTTAATCTGTGTTAGTGGATCCAGTGTTAGAGCCATCTTGCCCAATGAGGAAAGGCCCTCCTGAAATCAAACAAATACCGCATACTGTCTCATCGCAAGACACAATTATACGAGAACAGTTACAATTTGTGAGTGATGAATGAAACGTGACTAAAGATTACCTAGACCTTTGTCAATGATTCAGATGGCACTCAACAATACCTCGAGGGTAAAGGCTATTTCAGTCTAGAAAGGCCCTTCACGGATATACTAACCACGTAGTTACATTCTATGATAAGCACCAGCTAGTGCTAATACATACTACCAAACAAGGAAATTCACAAAAATTGGAAAAAACAAATGCACCACATTTGCACATAGTTGCCAAGCACCTTAGCAGGCTTCTTCTAGCAATAAGCCAGTGCACTTGGATACAACTTTAGAAGGTATTTTATTCCCAAAGCTGTTTGAACATTAGCTTGCACTCTGGAGCGGTGACATTACTAATCAGACGGCAATCATGCTTGGGTCATCCAGGTGGGGCCATTCCTACCTTCTGAAGGACAGATGCTACTCGGAATGCAGACATTTTCTCCCAAATAAATTGTTTTTTAATTCTTGCTTTGCTTCAGAAGTTAGTTTTTCTACTCCCATGACAAAAATAATCAACACTGTAGTTGTCGAAGTTGGTAAAATCACTTTCAAAGAGCACAAGGTGCAGTGGCGTACCAACTCTTTCGCGAGTGGGGGGGGGCAAGTCTACCCCTCACTTAACAGCAAATTATAATATATATATATATATATATATATATATATATATTGAAAACCTACTAGGGATATCATCAAAGCGGCAGTGTTGGCAAAATTTCGCTATGTTGTAACATAGCCTCGTAACAGTTTCATTCTCCCATAGGAACACAATTAAGTAATTACTGTTGTGATGGAAAACTATGCCTTACTTGTTTGTTTCCCCAGTGTGCAGCCGAGATTGACCACTGTCGAAAGTAGAGGGGGCTCAGCCCCCAGACTTTTCTCAGTGGGGGGGGGGGGGGGGGGCTGCTGGTATGCCTATGACAAGGTGGGTACTAAAACGTAACAGCTCATTGTACAGAGTCCCCTGGAAATTGTCATGTGGCTGCTTACTATTGCATTTCACATGAGTTCACCAAAGCCAAAATAACAATGATGGCAGAACTATTATCAATAACTAACAGACAGGTATGTCAAGGAAAGTATAGTGAATGTTAATCAAAGTAACTATAATCATGAAGGAAAAAACGTGGACGAAAAGACAACTTGCCGTGGACAGGAACCGAACCTGCGACCTCCGAATAATACGTCCGATGATCTACCAACTGAGCTACCACAGCGCCATCCACCCATCCACTTCATGGGGTATGTGCATTTAAACACAGGGCGTCAGTCAGCACAGCAAAAGTCAGTGTTCCATACTCGCCGCAATGGCGTAATTTCCTCGGCATAATTGTCCGTTAGTTCTCATTAATAGGGTGTCTAACAAAGAAAACGTGCTATTAAGTTTTACACTTCTTTCCTTCATGGTGAAAGAAACCATTTTAAAAATCATATCCTAACTACATTGATGAGCTTTCATTTGTATGACTAAAATGCATTTTTCTCAAGATGCAAGCTTGGGCAACCTTTCAAGTTTGAACATCATGTTTCGGGTTCTTCTGATGCCCAGGTCGGGTTTCCCCTTTATTTCTTAATGTGTGAAGAGTTCAATCATCGTATTCTAGAGACTGGGTGAGCAGACACAAGGAGGAGGTGGGGACACCTCATGACACACTCTCTCTCTCTCTCTATCAATCTATCTATCAATCTATATATATATATATATATGTAACACACCTTGAAATCATTGTGGTCACTATCTTCAGGTACAAGCTAGTTGAGAAGCTGCATAAACTCTACACGCAGAGCAATAAACAGCGACATCTGATTAGTGCCAATGCATCTCCCCATTTTTTGTGTTCTTAGTTGATACGGGTAGTAAAAAGAAGGAAGCGGGGATAGCACAAAAGAATGCGGGGAGTGATCGACTCTCTGTCGCCCTTTACATTGACAATCTCAAATACCATAAAAAGCCATAGCGGCAGCCATCTTTCGGTACCCAGAGCAGAGAACCTGTCTGTTACATTATGTGCAAGTTATGTATATATTCAGTCAGTGAGAGAAATATAAAAGGGGAAGACAGGCGCTCCACCTCCTCCGGGAATATAAAAACCTTTCCTGCGCCTACGGCCCCTTCACAAGCAACTTTCCATCAAAGCTCACTGTGCCGCACTCCTAAGCTCACAGCAGGGTTGCCAGGCTGGGCTATGAATTGCCAAATTGGGCTACATTTTTGTGAAGTTGGCAGGATTTTCGAATGTTGGCTGTTTGGGTACTTTTGGGCTATTATCTGTCTTGACTTTAAACGCTTATTTTCCACTGCTTTTTCTCCTCTTGATTTGTTGTTGTGCCTAATAGTCATTGTGCATTAAGTGTTTACGTGTATAGTTGTCCCTCTGTATTATCATGTACCTGTAATTTCGCCTTATTTAGCTAGCAGCGGCCTTCTACCGACAGTTATGCCTATCAGTAATAATGAATTCATACATGTCCTTTTAAAGCGACACTTCCCCAGCTGGTTTGGCGAGGCTCCCGATTTGTTCATTCTCACGCTAAGTAAGTTTGTAGACTAAAAAGAAAGTAACGGAAAGCACGTGCACATTATTTATTAAGCCTTGTGAAACTATTCGGTGCTATTTATATGCTTGAAATCACACAACTCTAAGCACTGTCGTTGTTTCTAAAGAATATAGCTTAACGCTTTACTTTTGTTTTGCTTGATATAAGATCCAACATAAGAATTGAATGTGACTGCATCATTTAGCTTTAGTTAACTGCTCACAGAATGGATTGATATGTAGGGTTTAACGTCCCAAAACTACTACATGATTATGAGAGAGGCCGTAGTAGAGGGAGTCTCCGGAAATCTTGACCACCTGGGATTTTTCAACGTCACCCAAATCTGAGCCCATGGGCCTACAGCATTTCCGCCTCCATCATCGCTTATAATAATAAACCAGCGACTCGTCTCCTACATACAACTCCTTCATCTCCCTTTCCTTGGGCGATGAACCTCAGATTGTGGCCTCACTTCCAAGGAAGACAATTTAACTCGCTGGACCTTTAATATTGATTATCACCTGGAAAGAGCAACAACAAAATACAAATACTAGTACACAATGCGGAATTATTTGCTTCCATTTCTCCTATCTGTGTCACATTCAATCTTGCATTGAATAGCAGCAGGAGACACGCATGTTACATGGGTGCTTTTCAACAAAATGTCTCGCTTCTTTTTAATCTGGTTTCTAGAAGTAAATGTTGCTTCGTTTCTCCAATTTCTTTCTTTATGAGTTCTCTCTGTATAAAAAAGAATTGGCACAATGTTGTTTCATTAACTTATTCCTTTTGGCTATTTTGGGCTATTGTCAATCAAATACATTTGGCTACTTTTGGGCCATTATTGAGCCTGAATTAGGCAGTTCACCCTCTGAGTACCTGGCAACCCTGCAGTTTATGTGAACCGTGGTGAGCCAATAATAATTATTATTACGGAGGTCTTGCATCCCAAAATAACAATACAATTAAGAAAAACGCCATGCTCCAGGAATTTCGACCATCTGGTGTTTGTTAATGTGCACTGACATCGCACTGCCACGGCCAGGCTAGACAGCACCTGTGCGCTGCCTTCTTACGGCCTTCACAACGGGTGTAGTACATGCCTCTAGCCACTCCTTTGAGAGGGCACTCTGACCCTGCCATCTTCCGCCACTGCGTACAGCGCACGAACATATGAATACGGACGCACTTCTCCACTCACTGCGCGTTGAAAAACAAGTTGCTTAATCATTGAAGACGCACAAATGGTTTATGACATTGCTCATACCTGATGATGCTGGGCTTAAGCCTGTACCCCTCTGAAGAGTGCACTTTACTGGCAGTGTCACAAGCCCTGAAGTGTGCGCATGATCGTAGCCACTCTGTGACAGAAAGCAGCGTACCACACACCCCTTACAAAATAATCTGGGTATGCTGAATGCTTTCTTCCGTGACATTCATTTGATGCAAAATAAAGACGGCCTTTTCTGCTTTTTTCTGTGCATCTGCTGTGATTTTTTTAATGCATAAGTGGTGCTTGCTTTCGCGATACTATTGGGACGCATTTTTTCTTTTTTCAGCAATCGCTACACTTTCTCACATTTTTAACGATAGTGCAACACTTGGGAGCACAATCGTCCTATCAGTCTGGTATCGACTCGCCCGATGAGCATTGCTGTTTATTGTTTGCCTGCAAACACTTGCTGCTTCTTGTTCAGTGAAAATGTCTTGTGAAGTTGAAACATTCAGATCTGTTTCGTTGGTCTCAGCTTTTCGCTTCCTTGATGTTTCACGTAGGGGCCAAACTCGTGAAGCAGGATTTTTACAAGGCTTCTATGCATTTGAAACCATGTAGGAAAGATAAATGTCGACAGGTGTAGGCGCGCGCGTGCAGTCAGGAATAAGTTTTCGGCACACAGTCTATCGCCAAGTGTCTGCTGCATAAGACTGTCGATGCAGACTTGCAGTTGATGATGAGGTTGTTTCTTGCAATGTTCTTTTGTCACTTGGTGCACAGTTCAGTATTGTGCGGGAATTGATAAGAAGGAACACTGGGTGTTTTCCCGAACGGGACTTACACTACGGAACCACGACGATCGAGCAGCAGTGACGGAACGCAGCAATACACCTTCATGCAGCTTATAATATCCATGTGCATAATGTGCACACTGAAGTTTGTGCGACTGCCTTCTTGACTCAAAAAAATTACAGTAGATTGAACACTGACAAAGGACCAAATGAAATGCAAGCGTGGTGAGTAATCCAGAATAAAACATGCCACACTAGAGAAAAGGCAATTCACAACAACCTGCTAGTAGCGATAAGCTACAAGAGAGTTTATACAGATTTTTCAGAAAAACAGCTGCTTACTTGCCAAAAAGTTGTAATGTTATCTATTTCTATTTCGAAACATGTTGTTCTACTATTTAAGAAGATAGCGCACAACACATTTGCACTAGTTTTCGTTTAGGGGCAGGTGGACTGCGAGCATAAGCAGCTGCGTACTTTGTTTGCATTTTTCATGGATGTGGCTTGCAGTACAAAGAAATGCAAAGGCCTTGGGGTCTCCGGAATGAATATTTCCAGGTAGTGTTAACACCTTGACAATGCACACCACCAATCTCTGTGCGTGCCGTTTGAAGACGTTATTCAGCAGCAAGAGCCCTCTTTTTTTTTTTTTTGCTTTCTTTCTCTTTATACACAGTTTTTTAGCCATTAGATATACAACACACGTACGTGTTTCAAAGAGTTGTCCTGCTGCAGAGACAAGCTATTACCCCTGAAAACACTCCAAATTCATTTTGAAAAATAAAGAAAAATAGAAAATAGCTAGAAAAGGTAAGGTGCGCTTGTCATTCTGTGAGCGACCTCTCAGTGGCGACGTCATCTGCCGGGACCAAGGGCCAAAGGTGTTTGGTGCTCTCTGATCGCAGAACAGGAGCAGCATTGTTCTTCTATCGCTCTTATCATTGCCACTGCTTTATGCCTTCTCAATTATGTCTCTCATTAGCCGATTATTTTGCATTTTCGCCGAGTTTCAGCTTGTATTAGCCACGAGCACATACACACCTACGTTAAGCGGCAAGCCATCTGGTAAATTAGTTTTCTTTTAGTAGATGATTCTCCCTCTATCCTCGGTTTTTTCAATAATCCCCCTACCCCTTTTCGTCGAGAACCCTTATTCAATGGTTCACATCGACAAACTCCCTTGTGCCGTGTGCGCGGCGCAGAAGATGCAGTGTCAGGGTCGCTGCGCCCCTTCCGCCGACGGGTGGCGAAACAAACTCTCCCATTGTATTCGCGACGGGTGAGAAGGCCGTAAAGAATGAAGCGCGCGCAGGTGCAGTCTAGCCCGGCCACACAGGTCGCACGCATTTCCCGCCTCCACCGAAATGCGACCGCCGCGGACGGGATCGAACCCGCGGCCTTCGGTTCAGCAGCTAAGCACCACAACCACGGCTCTACAAGGAGCCAAGGCTTGACTTAAGGAAAAAAATCAGCCACCACCTAAAATCGAAAACAAGGGTACTCAAGCGTCAAGAAACAAAGCCTCTACGGGACGTGGAAAAAAAAGGGGGGCCACAATCGCATTAATCCATCCGATCTTGCCAATAAGCCAGCCGGCCACTACTAGCGGTCGACAATCAACGCTGTGCCAAAACCGCTACTGCCTTTCATTGGGGCTATAGTGCCGGGGACCCCCAAACTCAGGCGTTCACTCGTACTCACAGCTGCAACCACGGAGAATAGAACGCAAGAGTACGCGGGCGGCTTGATGTACCCGTCACTAATATCGCTTTTCTCTCTCTCTCTCTTTGCGATACGACGTACTTGCCGAAAGCATCATGCTGGCATTTACGCAAATTATGAATAGCCACGAATGAATTTAAAAACCGTGAAACACCTTGAAGTGCGGCAGTTTGGGCAAGTTGGTATGACATGAATAGTTATACCACGAGAACACGTGTCCTTGTCTCTTTGTCGTCGTTCTGTTCTCGCGCTATAACTATCATGTGAAACATCGTTGAGTAGAATTAACCGGTTTCGGGCTTTTTCAGCGGAGATAGCACTGAAGCGGCTCACCTAAATCGAGAAATGCTTGGATCAGATAAAAGAAACATATCAGCGCCACCACAAAGAGCGTCGAGCGATTCAATTGTGGCAAACTACGACAAAACGCATACCTCGGGAAGCGTGCACTGTCAGCGGCGGTAATTCAAGAGACAAGGCATGCGGCAGCTTCCTTGCTGGACGCCTCAAGTTCGGAGCACTTGACAGCACAGCTAAGGCGGAGTAGCGGGTTGACGAAAATATTCGCACCACAGAGCCTAGGTGTTCTGTGACAGACCTTCAACAGATGAACACGCGCACTGACACACGAACGTCCATCCGTTGCGCCATCAGTGATTGCCATTAGAACCATAAAGAGCAGTGTTGCCAACCTTCGGAGCCACTTTTTTTCTCTCTGTAGTACACGGAGGAAGGAAACCTTTCCTTCTCCGTGCTGTAGTAAGATATTCCTTAGATTTCCCTAGATTTTTGTGGAGAGCGGATTTTTAGGCACGACCTTCTGTATTGGCAGAGACTGCTGCGCCGCGCAGTGCACAAGCCACCCCCACACAGAAACGGCTGCTGCACCGCATGAAAGTGACGTCATGCATTTTTCGGTTAGGCGCTTTGTTTGAATAGTTGGGAGTGTCTAGCCGTACGTCTAGTAATAATGATAAAGCAGTTAAAATTACGTCCAAACGATAAAGTGAACAAAAATGTTAGTTAGGTTTAGCGTGACAACAATACAAAACCGGCTTGTTTGCCATCTCAAACTGATCGGCAGCTGTGGCGTAGTTGGTTAAAGCAACGCCTCCTCTAGAAGATGCCTGCCGCATGAGAAGAAAAACAGGCTGCCACACCCTTTTCCTCCTTTATTTTTGAATGGATGGATGGATGCTATGAGCGTCCCCTTTATAACGGGGTGGTGACAAGTATGCCACCAGGCTCGACAAAAAAAAAAAAACCTTTTTTTTCTTTTTTTTATGTTGGCCTAATGCCTCTACTTCGATAAATTCTATCTTAATGGAAAAAAGGTAAATTTTCAGCTTAAGTTCTCTGCCATTTACGGCACACTGTCCATATTTTATTTTTCCAATATTTATTTTTGTCCTTTCTCTCTAATTTTCTGCCACCAATACTCTAACCGTCTCTTACTTATTTCAATCGCGGGTGTGTTCAGCTTTCCATTGTTGTCCCTAAAACCCAAGGCTTCCTGTAGGCTCGTGCCCAAACGTGCACCTGGGTGGATATCTCCACATTCAATCAGAACATGCTCCGCCGTTTCCTTATCTTTCCCGCAGCATGTGCATTGTTCTTCTTCTTTACTGAATCTTGCTTTATAACTACGCGTTCTAAGGCAACCCGATCTCGCTTCAAACAGTAAAGCGCTTCCCCTTGAATTATCGTAAAATGCCTCCCTCCTTATTTCATTTTTGCCCTTTCGGTAGTTACTCAAAGCCGGTTTTTTCTCCATAGCTGCCATCCAGTAAATCCTCTTTGCCTCCCTGACTTTTCCCTTAACGCTCTTTCTTGACATATGGCTCACAATACCAGCCGTATATTTACTAGTGAGTCTTCTAGTTCTTTTTCTCCACTGTGTGTCCACGCTCTTCCTATACAAATAACGGAACACCTTCTCTGCCCATCTACTCTCATTCATATTTCTTAGCCTTTCTTCGAACCTTATTTTGCTCTGCGCTTCCCTCGCCTCAAAACCTGCCCACCCCATATCGCCCTTTACAGCCTCGTTTGTCGTCTTCCCGTGAGCACCCAACGCGAGGCGTCCCACAGTCCTTTGATTTACATCCATTCCCGATTGCACCTCTGCCCTCATGCACACCACTGAGTTCCCAAAAGTAAGCCCTGGAACCATTACACCCTTCCACAGACCTCGAAGCACCTCCTACCTATTGTATCCCCACAACGCTCTGTGTTTCATTATTGCCGCATTCCTCTTTCCTTTTGCTGCCGAGGCTTTTTCCTGTACCTCCATGTATCTATCACTCTCATTTACCCATACTCCAAGGTACTTGTATTCACTTACCCTCGGTATTTCTTGGCCTTGTATGGACACCGTCTGATCACAGGGATCATTGAATACCATCAAACCACACTTCGTTACACTGAATCCTAGTCCAAGAGCTTCACCTTCCTTCCGCATATATTCGCCAGCTGCTGTATATCATCTCGACTGTCCGCAAATAAGACGATATCGTCCGCATAAAATAAACCTGGAAGCTTCTGCTCAATCATCATGCCGCCCTGTTTGTGTGACAGATTAAAACCAATGTTGCTACCTTCTAGCGCTTTTTCCATACTCACCATGTACAGCATGAATAACAGTGGGGACAAAGGACATCCCTGTCTCAGACCCCTGCTAACCTCAACGTTCTCTTTGCTACGCATTCCTTCCCACTCTATGCAAACTGTATTTTCTCGGTATATCTCCCTCAAAATCTGTATACAGTCGTCGCCCATGCCCATTCCTTTCAATATATCCCACAAAATTTCCTGATTAACGTTGTCGTATGCCCCAGTGATGTCTAGAAAAGCCACGTACAAGGGCCTATTCTCTATTTTAGATATTTCTATACACTGAGTGAGAACAAACAGGTTATCGTCTAACCGCCTGTCGACTCGAAATCCGTTCTGAAGTTCTCCCAAAATATCGTTATGTTCGGCCCATGTTTCTATTTTCATTTTTACTGCTTGCATCGCCAACCTGTATAGTACCGATGTAATGGTTAGTGGTCTATACGAGCGAATCTTGTCCTTTTCTCCCTTGCCTTTATAGATTAAGTTCATTCTACTTTGTCGCCAACTGTCCGGTATTTGTCCGTCCTTTAGGCTTTTTTCTACTGCTTTTAACAATGCTTCTTTAGTGTTATGTCCTAGTTCGTTAATGAGGCTAACGGGAATCCCATCTAAACCCGCGGCAGTGCGCTTTGGAATTTTTCCTTCGTCCTTTTTCCAGTTGAAATTATCAAGTACTAGCTCTTCCTCTGTTGCTTTCTCCGCCACACTTTTACTCACCGGGGAGATCCCCTGGACGCTCTTTTGAAACGAATCGGCTGTTACCTTTTGGATGTAACCTAGCGCTTCGTACCCTTCCAATTGATTTCCTCCTTCATCTAGAATATGTTGTTGCGTTGTGACAGACTTCCTACCTAGCGCCTTTATGTGGCTCCAAAAAATCCTAGGCGCGGCCTCCTTTTTTTTCGTGTATCTCTGTCATCCAGCGTTCACTTTCACCTTTAATTTTTGCCTCTACCAATTTCTGTACAAGGGATTTTTTCTCCAAATATATTTCCCATATTTTTTTTTACTTCGTCCTGCGGCCGCTTCTCCTTTTTTGCCTTTCTATAGCTTCCGTGATGCTTCGCGTCGCTTCTCGATCGCCTCCCGGATTTCCTTGTTCCACCAACTTTTTGGCTTCCTTTTTCCCTTCCAGCAAACAGTTTTCTTCTCTTTCCCTATCTCCTTCGTCATTAGATGTAACAGCTCACTATACTCCCAGTCCTTGCCTGGTATTTCGCCTACTTCTTCCTCGACTCTTGCGGCTATATTTATTATTTGTTTGTCATTTAAATACGAGCTGCCAGACTTTGATTCCATGCTCATATTTTTAGTTTCGTATCCTATTTGTAATGTTATTCGTTTATGATCACTACCCAAGCTGTTAATGCCTTCCTCGTCTATCCTCATTTCTGTCAGTTTGTGGTAAGTTTGTGGTAAATGTTCTCGGTCGCTAGCGTCACCTGTGACGGACGGTGCAACAATGCAACACTTTGCATAGCCTCCGAAATAGCGGTGTACAGTTGCAGGTCTTGAACAACTCTCGACTGACGCGCCCCTATGGGCCGCAGATGAAAAACGCCTAGCTGCCGTGATAATGGATGGGTGGATAGATAGATAGATAGATATGGCTATACCCTTTAGATTGGGCGGTGGCTAGCGCCACCAAGCCGTAATACTTAATGAATCAAAAACTAGATTTATTTTTTTTTCCTTAAATAGTGAGGTTGAGAATTCGTACTTTGCAGCGAAGGGTTCAATTTCAACTCGTGCCTTGTCTTTAGCCACCAATCAAATGACCTCCTTCTAGTTAAGTCTACCCGCTTAAAGTCTATTTTGCCCTCTCTGTCCCTAAACCCCAGTGCTTTGAAAAACTGTGCGCATCATCCTAAACTATAGGGTGAAGCCCTTTACAGAACATTATCAAGTGTTCGGCAGTTTCTTCTTCCTCTCCACACACACTGCGTACTGTGTCTACCCCTTTGCATTTGGCCCGATATGTCTTGGTTCGCAGTACTCCCGTCCTGGCCTCAAACAGTAGAGAACTATCCCGAGTATTATCATAGATCCTTTCCTTGGCAATTTCCTGCTTAAAAGTTCGATAGATCTCTAGTGCGGACTTCTTAACCATGCCCATTCTCCACATGTCAGTCTCAGCTTCCTTCACTTTCTTCTTAACCGATAGTTCTTTTTGGTTTGGCCACCTGCTGTTTTCTAAGTATTTACCCATCAATTTCCTGGTTCGCTTCCTCCATTTTGTACCAACATTCTTCATGTACAAGTAGCTGAATACCTTCCCAGCCCAACGCTCCTCCCCCATTTCTCTTAATCGCTTCTCAAATTTTATCTTGCTGCTAGCTTCCCTGCCCTCAAATATATGATGTCCATCCCATATCACCTTGTACTCCCTGATTTGGTGTATGATGAACCAAAACATATTTAAAAGAAGCAACGTTTTTAAGCCAATCTCTCACCCCTGAAGAAGAAGCTTCGAAGCATCAGATTTTTTTTCCCTTAAATTATTATTGGTTTGAGTTCTCATTCCTTCAGTTTCTATCCAAAACAGGCAGACTTTTATCGAATGTTCACCTTTGATTCCAGTCGTACATCATATCCTCGCTGCTCCGACAACCCCCTCACGCCGAGACATTTAGAGAAGTAATGACAGGTGCGCAACCGTAAACAGCCCTTCTTCCTTCTTGGACACTTATAGCTCTCGTGTGCGTGTGTGTGCAGGGGGGGGGGGGGGGGGTAGAGAGAAGCGTACTGACGGAAAAAATGTTGCATCTTGTTTTTGTTTTGTTGTTTGCACCGGGTAGCTAACAACCTAGTCATTATTTTATTTTTGAGGAAGCAGCATACAATACAACACAATCATGCCCACCTAAAAAGACGCAAACACAGACGCTGTATTGCAACTGATGAGGTATTGTCGAAAGACTCAGCTTATGTAGGATAACACGTACATGTGCACTAACACCAGAGCATACAATGAAGACAAGTTTTTCTTGTAGTGTTTTGCAGGAAGACTTTAT